TCAAACAAGTAAGTAGGATTTGTTTTGTTTCCTTGAGCAGTGAGGGCGACACATCTGCACCTGGCTGCAGACACACAGACCACACACATGCATGAATGCATACATAAACACACACACACACACATACACACAATCTTTTCAAACACAAGGAAAGATCTCAAATGAAACTCTGGTGACAGACATGAAGTACTCAAAATAAAATTCTTAGTAATCAAAAAGATTCTGGAGGTGAGCCCCAGATGAAAGATAGTATACTGTAGGTAGGAGGTGTGGGGATTTTTTTTTTTTTTGAGACTGCAATATACAAGAGATTTATAGATATTCTCTTTTTCAAGAGACTATGGCTGAATCTCTTTGTCTTTGTTTCATTTTCATTTACCTTATTCTCTCTTTTCTTCCAATAACCTTTTAACAAATTTTTCAGAGCTATTACCACCTACCACCACACTGAAAGCTGTAAACCCCCTAGTGAATGACATTACATGTCACCATAATCGTTATGATGGTGTGCTTCAAGATCTATTCATTAAAGGTGTTGAAGTTATAGTGACCAGATATGATGAAATCAGTGATTGTGAGCATTTCTTCTTAGAAATTCTTGAGATGGTTTGAAATATCATGAATATCTCACCTAAGTGAAAGAGCAGTGTTTTGAGATGTCTTTTCAGAAATCCTTAATTTAATCAGCTTTATAAATAGAAAAGAGAAAAACAACACTACTACCATTTCATCTACCTGAAATTACTACCTGAAATATACTTCCAGAAGAGTTATAATGAGGAGAACTTAGAAAATTATGATAACATGCTAAAGGGCTAGATTGATGACAGAGTGATATCTAACTCATCTGAATGTCTGTCAGCAGCTTATGAAAATAGCTTGAATTAGAAGTGGTGACTTAAGCTAGTGAATCTAAACAGAAAATTAATCTATCAGTTACAAGAAAGGTGATTCATAATTTAAATTCTAATGGAGAACACCCTTTAAAAAGTCAATTATAATGTACTGAATAGCTTTCTATTTTCCTAAACAAAAACTTAATAGTCACATAAAAATTTTTGAAAAAATAACCTAGCATGAATATTCTTGTCTTTATCTTAATAGAACACAAAAGGCCCAGATCCACTAATACCACTCGTTTATTTATTTATAGTTAATGTAGTTGTATACAATTGTCTATGGAATACCTATCCTTGTTGACTGATCCTGACCCTCAAGGGGAGCTAGAAATCTGATATCAGTCTTACAGAGTGGTAGTAATGACAATGCTTTTTCAGAATTTCAAGAACTGCTCAGAGCATTTTGCAGGTATTACATCTCATTTAGTCTTCATGACAATCTTCTCGGATAAGAAGTATATTTATTTTTAAACATGAGGAAATTGAAACAGAGAGAAGGTAATTTTCTCATGGTCACATAGGACTTATGAACTCTAACTTACCTAATATGTAAAATTTCTTTTTTAGTTAAGTTTATAATGTTTCTGAGTGACTTCTGTTTGTAAGTAATACAACTTTCAAGATGCTAAAGTACAGCTCTATTATTAACCTGACATATTAATTAATATAGGTCAAATCTGGGGATTGAACCTTGTTCTGTTGGAATTTTACTGAATCAAATATAGGTTTAAAGAAATCAGTTACGGGAATGAGTTTTTTAATATACACTGCCATTGGCTTGTTCAATTTGGTGGTATGGGTTTGGACTCCTGCTCAGTAGATTTAAAGCTTTCCTGAATATTTTATGCAAGGGTTTAATATTGGGGTGCAGCTGGAGGCAACAGAGTGGGGGGAGGGGTGAAAGAATTCACCAGAAACAGAGTGGAGAGCAGAAAAGGCAAATTTATTGAAATATCCTGCAAGGGTGCAGGAGCCTAGAGGGGCGAGGTCTACAGGACCATTTTACAACCTGTGTGTGTGTACTTTTTTATGATGCGGAAGTTGCTATCTGCTGAGACATCAGGTTTCGTGGACCTACACACAGGAGGTGTCCAGCCTGGTTCTGTTAGCACTGTTTCCCCATTCATTCCTCTGAATTCACAATAGGCCCCTATTGGTCATGTGGACCCAGGGCCAGGTTCCCATGGTGACTCTCATTTGTTTCCCTTTCTTATCTATTTTGTGTCTCCCAGCATTGTTCAGTTAAGCAAAGTGAAGAGACTAAGTTTTAACTCTATTAAATGACCCCATCAATGATGATTTAGTCACTCAACAACAGTATTTTTCATATTCCCTAAAAAAGGTCTACTGAATTGGTTTATGTGTGATGGGGAAGACATGAGAAATCCCAGGGGTTTGATACTACAATTTTCCTGGTAAGAAATGTCCCTCATTGTAAAAGTCATTGTGAAGAGAAAAGGATTCTTATGAGATTATGCCAGCTACCTTAATAAGAATGTATGCAAAAATAAATAAATCTTTTTTTTTACAAAATGAAGACAGGGACGCTGTGGTGGTGGAGGAGTTAAGAACATCACATAAACTATCACTAGCCATTGCTGCACAAGTTTCAATCCCCAGCCAGAGAGCTGACCCATGTGGGACAGCAGACCAGACCACAAAAATATTGGTTTTGTAATCAATATTTAATAATTGGTTTTGTAACCAATATTGTAAGCCTAGTAGTATTGCTAATGTAAAAATAAAGGCTCTTTCCTCATTCCTCAGGCGTACCACAACTTTTATGAGAAAGGTTCCAAAAGAACTTATTATTATTTTTAGATCTAGGGGTTGCTCTTTAGGATGATTTTGTTTGGAAATATACGGCTGTCAATTTTTTCATCTGAGAAGTATTAAGATATGCCAATGACCAATAACCAGCTAAATTATTTCACTAAATTCTACTGTAGGGGTTTACCCTAATCTTTTCACTTTAAAATTTATTTGTTTAGTAAAGGGCATAGTTAAAAAAAAAAAGTCATTGTTTAAAAAAAAACTAATAAAATTAGTTGCTTAAAATATTTTGGTATGTTTTTGATTCTAATAAAGCAAATTTCTGACAAACCCAGCATACTTGTGCCTGTTTTGGGGCAACTCCAGCAGCAGTCAAGGTGTATAAATGCTATCTAAAGTGTTGGTTGAGAGATGGCATATTCCTAGATCAAATGAGAATATTAAGTGGGTCACAACAGAATGTTTTCGTGCATGGTATTCCTGGCACTGGGTCTTTGTGATTATGATTAAAAATCATAATCTTTAGCATTATGATGAAAAATGCTAAAAGCATAGCATTTAAGAGTCCATTACTACATGTACTCTAAGGATATTATAAGACAACTGACTCCTACTATATGATTCTGTGGTCCTCATTAAAAACCCCAGATCACAATTTCCTTTCAATGCTAGGGGAAGCTTGCTCATCCTTAGAAGGTCAACCATTAAGCTCAGTTTCTCAAGAGGGTGTCACAGCATTTAGGCAGACCACTTCTTAGCACATGGAATATCCCTATCCCTCAAGACAGCCTTTTCATATCCGGGCCAACAGACGTCAATGCTAGTCAGGTACTCAACCACTGTGACCACCCAAATTGCCCACACACATTTCCAAATATATTAATTGGAAAACACTAAAAATTTGTTTACTTCCTTTGGTATAGCACGAAACTCAAATGTGTCACTAAGACAATCTGAGTGAGAAAATGATGTCCTATATATTTGCATTCTAACTTTCAGTCTTGGGCTTCCAGTTTAGTGTATATTTTCCTTCGCCATAAATTTTAATTTATGTTCTGATTTTATTGCTAAAACAACCCAAGTCCTTTGTCCAACCAGATGAAATACAAATAAATAAAGACAGTTTGGAAGATAGTTCACAGGGCTTTCTCCATTTCATCTGCAATAGCACTCACTTGAAACAGTGTCCCTGCTATCTAGTATGCACTTTAAACCCCCACAGATACAGTGGTTTCAGAAACTACTTCTCAGACACTTAGCTTTTAGGAGTTAATAAAGAATAATAAAGAAATATTTCTTTAGACCTTTGATGAAAGTGACTGTGTAAAAAAAAAAAATTATACAAAGACAAATTTCTGTGTAATAGCAATTTTCAATAAAAAGGGCTCAGAGGAAGTACTTATTACTTCTAACATAAAAATCCTTTTGCTAAAAAATATGAATTCTATATGAAGTTAGTTCTGTGTGTATCTTCATTTTATTTATTTTATTTTCAGATTTATTTATGCATATAAGAACTGGGGTGTAGGCCAAAAGTGAGGGGGGTGATAGGATTCACAAAAAAATAAGAGCAGGGAGCAGAACAGGCAAGATTTACTTTGCAAAGGGGAGCAGCGGGCAAGACAGGAGAGGTCTGCTGTGCCACATGGGTCAGCTCCCTGGCTGGGGATTGAAACTTGTGCAGCAATGGCTGGCGATAGCTTGATAGTGCTGTCCTTAACTACTCCACCACCATGGAGTCCCAGTCTTCATTTTTTTTTAAAAAAAAAAAAAAGATTTATTTATTTTTGCATACAGAACTGTAGTACAGAGGTGCAGTGGCAGTGAGAGGATTCACCAGAACAGAGTGGGGCGCAGAACAGGCACTGAGAAGTAGACTGAGACAGGAAAAGCAGCACGTGGGTCACCTCCCTGGCTGGGAATGAAATTGGTGCAGATGTGGCTGCAGCTAATTTTGTAGCACTGTGCTTTAACCACTGAGCCACCAAGGTGGGCCCCCTATCTTCATTTTAGAAGAAAAATTTGGGAGGCAATTGAATCATATACTTTACTTTTTCCATATGAGCGGAAACAGTTTTGGTTCTGATTTAAATACATGATTCCCTTAGATTCTTCCTATCTGGCAACTTTTATTGAGAGAAACTATTAAGCAATTCAATGGCATTAGGCATTTATCTTATTTAATATGTGACATCTTTGGTGTTTTATACTCACTGTGACAGTTTGGGCATCTATATTTGAGGAAGAACTTAATAGAGCATACTATTTAGTAACTGCTGTGAAAATGGGATAACATATTACAGACGACATCAAATTAGTTATTCTTACCTCAGAAGTACAAACAGCTATGTTGGCAGGAAGCTGAGAAAACTGTTTCAATTCAAATACATCACGAGCTGCCCATCGGCTCATGTGATTTTCAGCTTTGCTTGATCCAATAACATTCTGGTTTGAGTGAATGTAAGCCACTTCCTGAACACCATCTAGGAAGTAATTGATGTTTATTAAGTGATGTTTCAAAATTGACAACAATAAAAAGAGAAATAAATCAGGAGAAAGGCAAATACCCTATGATTTCATTCATTCATGGACTATAAACAAACAACAAAACAAAAACAAAACTCTAACTCTTAGGTATTGACAAGAATGGTGGTTACCAGAGCGTGAGAGGTGGAACAGGTAGTTGGGGTTGATGGTGCCTAGACATTTGCTGGTTGGTGTGGTGTGAAACTGTATACCTGAAATCCAGCCAGTGCTGGAAACCTATCACCAATTAAAAAATATTGCCAGCGGGCCCTCCCTGGTGGCGCAGCGGGGTAAGCACAACACTGAGAATCTAAAGCCGCTTCCGCATGAGTTCGATTCCCGCCTGCCCCGGAGGTGACCACATGGCGCGGCAGACCTCTCCTGACCCGCCCGCTGCTCCCCTCAGCAGTGTACTTCGTTGATCTGCCTGTTCTGTTCCCCACTCTGTCTCTGGTGAAGCCTCTCAGTGCCCCTGACCCTCTGGTCTGTACCCCAGTTCTGTATGCACAAATAAATAAATCTTTAAAAAAAAAAATATTGCCAGGAATACACTAGAAGCAGGTTATGCTTATTTTTAATCCTTAAGAAAAACATTGTTTTTTTGTGTTAATATTATTTTTTAAAAATTGAAAAGTATTTTAACTATGTTGCTTTAGGTTAACTTGGAAAAGACTTTTCCTTCTCACCAATAACAGAACTTCTTAGGTAACAGTTTTCAGATTTATACCTGAAATGAAGATTTTTTTACCAAGAGAAAAGTCAGGGTGGAGGGTTGTCTCTATGAATTTATAATCCCTACTGTATAAAAAAACAAAAACAAACCAAAAAAAATTATACCTTTAAAGAACAGCTCTAGCCTCATTTGTTCCTTTAAACATGTACTTGATTACAGTGATGGAAAGGGAGCATGGGGTTTATGACCAGGGAGTTTCATTGGGCTGGCTTTGTTCATTTTTACTGTTTATATGTTGTCTTTTTTTGTACATATGCTCAGACAAAGAGTTAAGATAGGAAATTTTTAGGAAATGAAAAAAAAATTAACTCACAGCTTTTATCTGAAAGAAGTTTAAAAAATGGCTCTATTTTTTATTGCTTTGCTTCTAGGTACCTATAATTTACTTTTAAACTGTGGTCATAAAAGAAAAGGCTAGAACTGAGGTCTGTAAAAACTCCCTCAAATAGCTCTGGCAATCAACCTCAATTATGACCTTCAACACTTGTGCTGTTTCAGTCCTGAATCCTTCTCAACCAGAATCACCATCCTTAGAAAACAAGATGTTAAATGACTTCAAGAGCAACTAAGATAATATTGTCCTTAAATTTCAAAACACCAGGTAGTTTGTATGGCAGCCATTTAAAAGCCTCAAGTGGATTCTTCTGGTAAAAAATTTACACAAATTTAATTCTGAGGGTGTATTTTATAAGATTATTCAAAAATAGCATTAGTTCTACACTACCACCTATTGTATAGTAAAAAGGAAAACAAAGCCCCAACCCTCAAAATAACTCTGTTTAAAAAATTTAACACAATAATTCCTCAAACCTAAAATCCAGGTGAAGCACAGAAATCATGGTTAGTCCAGTACGTATTACAATGGTTCTCCTTATCTTTCATGACTTTGGGAAACTCATATATTGTTCGAAAATGATGTATGATATAAATATATTAAGGAAACTAAAATATAATAGAACTATCAAAAATTAAAAAAAATTAAAAAACCAGAACCAACAAAATAAATCAAAGCTACTTGCAGTTACAACACAATCAAGTAGGATGACATGATACCCCCAGGAGCCTTTAAAATACAAGCAGGTGGGGGACAATCCACCCACAGTTATATACTCTGCGCAGTTATCATAGTATGTGAAGGAAAGAGGTAACAGGGTGGTATCTGATGGGTCTGAGAACTGGAGACCTTGGTATATCTAATTCTATTTCTTGAAAGCACAACGAACCTGCCACAAATCCCCAGTGGAACTTGGGAAAGTTCCTGCTTTCCAATGCCAAGTGGGTGTTAGGGGCTTGTGGCTAAGATTCCTGAAGGGGTCAGAGCAGGCTAGTAACTCCCCAAACTGACCTAACAGGGTTTCTACTCAAGTCAAGGCCAAATAATTAGAAGAATCTGCTGGGAGGGAGTCAAACAGGATAGGAACAACAGGGGTGAAGGAAAATGAGAGCTAAAGCACAGCTGAGGAGAGGGATAAAGGTAGAAAGCCTCTCCAGTGTTTCAAACACTATGCAGAATAACAGATATCAATCTCTGAAATGAGAAAAGATTTAAATTCAAGGGAAATATTTCTATAAAAATGAACAATTTCATAAAGTATAGAAAAAGAGAATAAATAGCAGATTAACATCCTCATAATGAAAATATGCCAAAAAGATGTGCTAACAAAGTTGATTAAAACTGTAACTGAGGATGCTGAGCTGCTGCTGTTTCAATGCAGGGTGGAACCTAAAACCATATCTCCCACCTGGCCTGTCTGACCAGCCTGGCACCTCAAATGAAAGCTGTGTGTACGCTGGTGCCAGCAGCTCAGCTTCAAGTAGTAGATCTGTCATCTGCTGGTGGCTCACCTGCTGCAACTCCCTGGCAGCCAGGCCTGATGCCCCAGATAGAACCACTGCAGCTGGCATGGCTGTGGGCTCTGCGGTGAGAATGCACAATAGGTCATGCCATCACTGGGGGCTTCAGTGAAGGAAGTCATGCTGAGCCCTCAATGCCTGGCATCACTCACCAGGAGCCCCAGTGAACCCCACCAGCACAACAGCAGCAGCAGACTTGCCTGTGCTATAACAAAATAAGTTTTTTGAGTGTGCCTACAACCAGAGAAACTATAAACTTTGGGAAAGTTTCAGGGAGATGCTGAAACAGAGTAGAATTTGCTTCGCGGGAATGCATTGTTAGCCTAATCATAGACTTCAAATTGAAGATATGGAAAATCACCTCTCGTGAGCATGAAAATACAATTGAGAGTGAAATGTAATTTGCTTAGTAGAAGTGGCACTGAGATTGGTGTAGGGTGAATGTGTAGCTTCCTTAAATTAGCTTTTGTGATGTTATTGTTTGTGAATTAATTAGAATAAAGTGAATTTCTTAAAAATTGAAATGATTTCAAAATGTGGTAAAATACTTTAGGAAGAAGATAAAATACAGGAACCAACAATATATGTGACAATTAGTGTAACTCAGAAACTAGACTTAGAAATTTAAAAAAAAATCAGAAATAAAGGCTAGAAGGAGCAAAATAAGGGGAAAACACAATAGATGATGCTTATCTGAGAAGAAAAAAAAATTAAAACAAAAAAGAAGGTTAAAATAAGGATTTGGGACCCCTCACTGGTGGCACAGTGAATTAAAGCACAGCACTAAGAAGCTAAAGCCATTTCAGAATGAGTTCGGTCCCCACCTGCCCCAGAGGTGATCCACATGGCACAGCAGACCTCTCCTGATCTGCCCACTGTTCCCCTCAGCAGTGTACTTTGTCAAGCTGCCTGTTCTGCTCCCTACTCTGTCTCTGGTGAATCCTCTCACTGCCCCTACACCTCTGGCCTTTACTCCAGCTCTGTCTGCATAAATAAATCTTTAAAAAATAAATAAATAAGGATTTGAGGGAATGTGACAAATAATGAAGTTCAGCAAAGAAGGTTGAAGATTTGAAGAATAGCAGCCCCCAAAGATGAAAGTCAAAGCAAAGGAATAGAACAAATAGCTGAAAATATGAATAGCAGAAAGCTTTTCTGAAATAAAAACCAAGTTGAAACTATACTGTGGGGATACTGACCCAGAATAACCAACACTACTATGGACTGAATTTTTGTGCCCCCGCCAGCCCTATTCATATGTTGAAGCCTATTCTCCATGCTTTTAGAGCTTGGGCCTTTGGGAAATGATTAGGTGGTGAGGATGGCACCCTAATGAAAGGGATTAGGAAGGGAGAAGAAAAGAAATGAGAGAGATGATTTCTCTCTCAGCTATGTGAGGACACATTAAAGAGGATCTGTGACCCAGGAAGAGGGCCTTCACAAAGAACCAGAAAATGTTGGCATCCTAATTCTGGACTTCCAGTATCCAGAAATGTGATAAATTAATTTTACTGTTTAAGTCAACCAGTCCATTGCAGTTTGTTACAGCAACCAGAGTTTACTGACACAAACATCAAAACACAATCTAGTGAAATTACTGGACATAATGAAAAGACCATTTGGGCATCTATGAAAAAAAAAAAAAAAACCACTTCATGCCAGAAGAATATGAAACTACATACTTAAGATACTTAAGAAAACACAATGTAAGCCAAGAATTTTACATCTGGGAAGAGTAACTTACGAAATGTCTGGGAATATTACTAGTATGGGTACTTCCTGAGATATCTAGCAGAAAATAAGCTACAGGCAACCTTAATAATAACCAAGCCAGTAGCAGCAATGACAAATCTCAAAATATCAAAAATACTTTCACATTAAAGGAGCAAGAAGCAATTCCACTTCTTGGAGCAATGACTAGATTCCTAAGTCTGGTACATAAGATGTAAAAGAGGGAGAACAGCAAACATTTTGTGCCTCCCAGTTTTGCCACACAGTTAACTTTTGTCTTGTCTTGCATGATAAAGCCACAAAAGTGCAAAACAGTCATCACAGTGAGGCACTTGGAGGGAGTCCTCCCGTAGATGAGAACGTTCTCTATCATGACCTAGGTGGTCTATCCTTTAATCTGAAACCCACTCGTTTACTCATTTATGGCTCAAGGTAGCACCCTGATTGTAGAGTTATTTTACAAACTAATTCAAGAATCTCTTACAGAACAATCTGATTGCACAAAACACATATTTAAGAAATAACCAGCAGAATGTATCTGTAGTTACCTAAAAGTTTGTCCACTGATTCATATGTTTGCTCTTGACTGATGACTCTCTCCTTCGAAGATTTCATGGGTTTTCTTGGTAGGAAAGTGTTATTTTTCTTATGGTTAGGCAGTTTTGAAGAAAAACTGTTTTTATCTTTTACAGCTTTGGAGCTATATTTTTGTTTAGAGAAACTGATGTGGGCGACAGATAAATCATCATCTGAGGATGAAAAATAATCAATAGCCTGAGAGTTACCATCTTCATCCACTGCATTTGTTTCCTTCATTGCTTTAAGAAAAGTATAAGCTTTCTTTTTCTTTTCCTTTTTGCTTTTAATCTTCAAAGAACGAGTACTTCTTTGCTTTCTCACTCTTGACTTGGGGGAAATGTCAATGTCATCAGACTCATCACTAATATCAGTAGCTCCTTTTCTTTTCATAATAGATCCCAAGGTTGGGTTCTCTGGACTTAATTGCTTTGAAATTAGTCTAACCCCTCCTATACTAGTCTCGCTATCATCACCATTATTTCTTATTTTTACAGGGCTTTCTGTTTCAGAATTTTCAGATCCATCCATGGGTGACTTAATCTTTATGTCATTTCTAGGCAATCTCTGAGTAGTATATTGTGTAGGGAAGATGATATCACTATCACCTGACTCTGTGACATTCTGTAAAATACAATGGTGGTCAATTGTATTTTTTAATTTTTTCTCATTATCAGACTCAGAAGAAATACTCTGCTCTAAAATCTCACTTTTGTCAAACATACATTTTTCATTTGGATTTAGGATATCGGCTAATTTCTGATGTTTTGAAGTACCAAGACAGTTTTGATTTTCCTGACAACCAAGATCTTTGGTTTCTATTGAAAGACCTGTGGGCTGTTCATCACCAGATGCATTATTTCCATCACTGTCTTCAGCTGATCTATATTTTGTGTCAAACAATTTAGAGAAACCACAATGAAGCAAGGAAAGTTGTCCAGAAGAACCTGAAGCTTTTTGTAGATCAGATACTTTGTTTTTAACAGTCTTTATCCTAGAGTTCCCTCCTGATTCATCATCACTAAAATCACTGCAGAAATCACATGCTTCTTTTGCTAGTGTTTCTGGTGGCTGTTCTGGATCTTTGTGTTCTTGACAGTCAGGCTCTCTAGACTATATAAGAAGCAATGACAGAAACATTAGAAAATATCAAGAAAATGATACCAAAAATATCACAATGAAAGAGAATTAAATTTGGGCAGATAATTTATGTCAAACACATTACTTGTTATTTCTGAACAGAGTAACACTCAAATATCAAATATAAAGGATCTGATAGTACAGTCTGGTGTACTTTTTATTTTTAAGTTAAATAGCTTTACAAAGTAAACAAGCTCAAACTAAAACATTACATGATCAAATAGCTAATAAGAAGACAAAGTGGTCAGTTTCTAAGATGTAGGCACCAATGGTGGCTTCAAAGTGAAAAGCAAGTTATTGTTAACTGTCATCCAGTGGATGATTACAATTATACTTTACAAGAAAAACAAATTTTCAGACATTAACAAAGAAAATTCACAACAGGAAGATGATTCTGGTTGTTTAAAAATGAGAATAAGATTTCACAGAATCAGGACCACCAGAAATAAAAATATTAAAGGTATTTTACAGTAAAATTTGCTACAAATTGTTTTTCATAACAATCAGAGTTAAAAATATCCTTTGGGGCCCTCCCTGGTGGCGCAGCGGGTTAAAGCACAGCACAAAGAAGCTTAAACCACTTCCACATGAGTTCGATTCCCGCCTGCCCCGGAGGTGATCCACATGGCAAGGCAGACCTCTCCTGACCCGCCCGCTGCTCCCCTAAGCAGTGTACTTCGTCGATCTGCCTGTTCTGCTCCCCACCCCCCTCTGGTGAATCCTCTCACCCTCTGCATCTCTGACCTGTACTCCAGTTCTGTACGAATAAATAAATAAATCTTTTTTAAAAAAAATATCCTTTGTTTGTTTAAAATTGAAACTTTACTTGTAAATATCTGAGGAAAGAACTATTCAGTAGTACTGTCAACATTTGATATTCATGTGTTTCTATGATTTGAAAATATAGAAATCATTGGACTTGTATAAATTTATAATTAAACACCTAAAAACAAGTTAAAAAAATCTACAATAAAAAACACACCCTCGGGCCCTCCCCAAGAAACTAAAGCAACTTCAGCATGAGTTCAATCCCCGCCCTCGAGGTGACCCACATGGCATGGCAGACCTCTCCTGACTGGCCCACTTCTCCCCTCAGCTGTGTACTTCGTCGATCTGCCTGTTCTACTCCCCACTCTGTCTCGAGTGAATCCTCTCACTGCCCCTGTACCTCTGGCCTGTACCCCAGCTCTGTATACATAAATAAATAAATCTTTAAAAAACAAAAAACAAACAATAAAAAAAACATATATTCTTTATTTTTAAAAAGACCTGTAAGATGACAACTGCTAAAAAGTTCACAAGATCAAATATTCAAAAAAATAAAATTTGAGAAATTTGTTTTTAATAATCCTAAACACACATTACCATTTTTTTAATTTAATTTTTCATTTAGTATAACGTTATTTATTTAGGTTGAATAAGTAATTTATTCATTCAATTTAATTTTAGAATTTCATGTTGGTATTTTAAAAAACTTCCCTAACCACTTACCAAATTAGAAACTATTTTTTAATTAATGTGCAATAAAATGGACACTTTCAATTAAAACAATACAGTTTAGATGCAAATGCCTGATAATTGGCTCCTGAATTTGTTCTTAATGAAATGAAATGTAAAATTAGTTAAATTATTCATTTTACTGACAGTCCCTATGTTTGCTTGGCTTTTTTCAAAAGGCTCTTTTTTTTAATACTTTGCAAGTGACAGAAAAGATAAAGTAAAATAGCCAAGTACATCTTCTAGCAGTTATGGGCCACAAATCAAACATGACTTACCATGTCTACTTCATGCACTGCAGGTTCCTCTTTCAACCATGTTGTGGCCGTCATGATCCCAGCTTCCACTTGACCTTCTCTCTATTATGAATGCAAATTATTGTAAAAGATGGGATAAAAAACAACTAAGCAGTTGAAATGGCATGCTAAAACTTGGAGTTAGATAAGGGAAACTGAGTGTAGCACAATTCAGTTCTCTTAATATTACGTTTCAATTTCACTAGGTAAGAAACTCATATATGATTTATATAACATTCTTCAATACTCAATTGTTGGGTGTTCAATGGCATAGCAGAAGTATGCTGAACCCATAAAATACTCTTATTTCTTGTCTGAAAACTACTTTTTCATATAGAAAACTAATACTTTTCAGCCAACTCCTTTAAAAGTTCTGGTAGAGAACAAGTGAAAAAAATGTTACATATTTGGCCCAACAAAAATATCCTTACCAACCATGTCTATATAATTATTGTAAGGACATATTAAGAGAATTTAAAATACTACAGATAATGCTGAATAATTGGAACTTGATATTTTATCCTATATTGTCAATTAATTTATCCATATTCATTAAGATACTTGACTCCTTCAGTGCAATAGGCAGTGATATGAAACGTTCCATCCTTATATAAAACTAAAATAAAATTTTAATTGTATAACAGAGTTCCTACATTTGGGGAAAGTATTTACACTTTTACGGTATTTTGCAAAGGCTTTAATAGTATACATTCTAGACCATTAAGCTGTCTTTCAAAAGGAATTCAATTTGCTTCCCCTTTTTACATTTTATTTGCTACAGAACAAGGGGAAATAACACTACCTTCACCAGCTATAAATGTCCAACTTATGAATACAGAGACATACCAATGGTATTGTTCATGTCTTGGTATCCAGGACAACAAGAATCTTCTCTACAGAACTCCAGAGAATGATGATTCCTGAACTGCCATGAGTCTCCTTTCTCCCAATGCCTAGAGACTACTATTGCAAGGGAGTGGGGAGCTTCCCTTTTATCTCTCCAGCAAATGTAACTGTCAGTACTAGAAACGCATCTACTCTCAGAAACCTTATGTCATAAGTAATTAGTAACTCTACCTTAGAGTTGTCTTTAACTCCTTTTACTCACACCTTGTATCTGATCTACCAGCAAATACTGTCAACGCCACCTGTGTAATAAACACAGAAGCCAAGCTTTTCTCACATCGCTGCCACTGTCAGCTGGCCTAAACCATCACTGCCTGGTTGGATTATTGTAGCATCCTCCTACTGTCTTATAACTTCTGTTCTTATACTTCTACAGTTTAATTCTCAATATTTAACCTTGATGGTTAGATCAGAGTATGCCATTCTTTTGTTCAGAATCTTCTGGGTTTTTTTGTCTCCAAAATCAAAGGTCCCACTTGATCTGGTTTCTTGTCATCTGTCTGGCCCGATCTTTTGCTCTCTCATGTACATCAGTCTGATACTGGAACAGAGCTGGCTCAGGAATAGGAACCAGCAGCTCCACCACATCAGTTCTGACTATGGCTCCTCAGAGCCCAGCAACCACCTTTTTATGTGTATTTCCTGGATCATGGAGTGGACTGATTAGGTGTAAGCTATTGGTGTTAAATGGTTCAATCAGCCACAGGATTGAAAATGGTCCAATCAGACTTGAGGGTGACATACCCTGAAAGAGGATAAGATATAAGCTAGAACATAGGGAACATAGGGACACTGTTCAGCCACCAAAGAAGAAATGGGAAGACTCATTCCTCGTCACCAAAGAAAGAAGAAAGAGGAACAGAAATCAATCTCAAGAAAAGAAAAAAGAAGAAGCATATAGTGGTTGACCTCCAACGGAGAAAGAGAAGCCAAGTATCTCTGTCAGAAATTGGGCCTCCATTCCTATCTCTGACATTGCCTGATGGAGCACCAAAGGCCGTGGGCCTGGTGTTTCAAAGAGATGTTTGTTTTAGATGTTGTCCAATAACTCACAAAAAGCTGTTAGCACCACCTTTGGGGACCAGTAATGACCACCATTACTGGCCAGTGTGGTGTAGCTCTGTTGACAGGTATTCTGCTTGTACTTCTGCAGCTACTTGTGGCTACAATAAGCTCTTTGTTTCCCCCAGTTGTTACACAAACCCCATGGCTGTTGTTCCTAGAGCCTGAGGTCTCTTCCAATTGTACACACAGGTGAGAACCCATAGGCAGTGACCTGTTCTCTCACTGGGCACTGTCCTTTGTTCAGCTGTAGCCCATTGGTCCCTATTGTATGGGTATTGTATTGTTATAGCCCTCGGTTTTCGCATTTGGCCTTTTGGGGCTTCTAGGGCTCTCTTGTCTTAGATCAATTTGGTTTACCCCATTTTCCTATTCTGAACACCCCTGTTTCAACCTCATCACCCTTGCCTCCCAGCCTTTGGTTGTAATGCTGGACAGATTGCTCCCACAAGGCCTTTTCATTTTTTTCTCTAAAATTCATTCTTCCAAGTCTCATCAAAGAATTAAATGCAACTTCATACTAAGCATCCCTGGATATTCCATCTAAAATTATAATGCTCTTTTCTTAACAGATTCCCAATTTCCCTTGACTTTTTTTTTCTAATTGAGAAATAATTTACACAGAACACTATAAAGTATAAGCTGTACAACATTTTGATGTTATATATTACAATATATTGTATAAATTACAATATGATTTCTAGCACAACTTTAGTTAACTCTCATCATGCCACAAAATTATCATTTCTTGGTTTTCATGGGAACATTTAAGATCTAGTCTTTTTATTTTGAAAATTTTAAGACAGTATTAGTGACTATAATCAATATGCTGTGCATTAGATCTTTAGAACTTAATCATCTTCTACCTGCTCTAGTTTACCCTTAGAATCTATCATGATATACCATTACTATTTACTTAAAGTAATATTCACTTACTTTTTGTTTATTATTTGTCTCTCCCAAGTAGAATGGAAAGTTTTTGAAGGCAGGATTTTTTGGTTTATATTATTCATTTCTGTAATCTGTAAGCACAGCTTTATTAACAGTACCTGACCCTTCACTATGAAATGAATTTTCAACATCTAGCTCATAAGTAAATCATGTAGAGAAAAGAGTCAGTACACAATTTAACTAAATTGCCTGAAAACCTTCAGATTAAGTGTTCTACAAATTGAAATTTCAACAATTTTTTAAAGAACTTTTAAAGCAATTTTCTACAACCTTTAAAAGATGAAAGAACATCATAGGGCTTAAAATATATCTTTTACTTTACAATATAGGCTCCCATTATGTAGATATATCTTTTACTTTATGATACAAGCTCCCATTATGTAGGGCTTGGAATAGTAATATTTAAAGATATTATTTGGCCAAAAGCAGCATAAGTATAAGTAAGCCTGAGTAACTTTAAATTCTGGTTAATAATAAATTATCTTTTTTAGTTCAATATTTAATAACTGAGTTCCAATGATAGGCATACCAAGAATTAAAGATATTCTACCACAAACAAAACATACATAGAGGATCCTTTTATTAATAAACAAACACTCTTGGAAAAGAAGCACGGCATACTTAGGATAATCAGAAAACAAAAGACCTTGATAACTTGTTATACTGTGAGGTCTTACCTAACAATTGTTGACAACAACAGAATGGATGGCTATTCCGATAAAATAGAGAACTAAATTAGATAAGTGACTGAAAACACAATAAATAATGCCAATATACTTTATAATGATTGGAAATCAGAAACATGAATATAAGGTAATATGCTGGGTGTATTCTGAGATGGAGGTCTCTGAGGGGATTCTGGAGGCCAGTCAAGGTCACTGATTAGAGAAGAGAAATAGGAATAAACTAGTTCATGAAAGAAATAGATATTCAAAAATAATTTTAAAAGACAGAAAAAGGGGGGCTTTACATGGACCACTCCACTCAGAATTAAGTAGTTACTATGAAATACAACTCAGCAGGATAAGTAATATATTTTATAGACAAAACTTAAGATTTTATCTATAAAATATTATATATATATATATATATCTCAGACACTGTAATATCATTGAAATAGTCACGATACACAAATAAAAAATACTTTCTTCTCCATCCATCAGTGATCACTTGGAATTGCTAACTTGCTTCATGTATGTTTACTGATACTACAAGTTTGTCATGTAAAAGTTCACTTCCATTTCCTATCAATATGGTTTAAGTTTTAAGATAGAGACCTAGAACTTTTTTTTGTGGTATGGTGCTTATTTTATAAATGAAATATATTAAGGCATTACCACAAATTCCTGGAAAGTTAAGAGAAATACCCTTAAGTTTACTGAGCCTGAAATAATATATATTATTATTATTGCTGTTGTCAAAATGTTGTTATTATATTATTAAAATATTATACTATATATATATGTATATATAAATAAAATATAAGAGAGGATTGGAAAAGATAACTTTCCAGGATTTTATTGTACTCCTATCAATCTCAATTATGCAACAGATTAACAGCCTTAGTGTTTTGGTATAGTAAAGAATTTAAAGGTTTTTTAAGGATATAAATAACCTATTTGAGGAATAAGAAACATCTGTATACAGAGGATGAGCACAACTGGGAGAGTCTGAAATAATGGTGGGGAATTTTTATTGGGAATAGGAAACAAAATCTCCATGAGACAAGAAAGTGCATCTCAGGGAGTCATTTGGTAACTTTTAATCAAAACACATTTTATACATTTGTTTATTTAGGCAAGTTTGTTTTTTTAGTTTCTGACTCAAAAGCTATTTTCAGAGTAATAAACTTCCCCTTGCCAGACTGAAAATGATCCACTAGCTAATATATGTATCTATATTTGTATGTGTGCATTATTTATAGCTATGTATGGGAACAATGTTAGAGATAGAACAGTTCATTTCCTATTTAAAAGCAGAAATTCTAAATATAAGATAACTTTTTAAATAAAGCAAACCAAACATTTTTCTGAAAATTCACCAACACGATACTTCAAGTTTCCTAAAGGATAATGTTGAAAACATTATCAAAAAGGTCAGAGAATAACTTCACACCTCCAGGATGTCCCTTGTAAGACAAGATCCTTGGGACCTTAATTTGAAGAGATTACAGACACCAAAAAGCTCTCCTCGATGCTCTTTTGATCCTTGGACTGCTTCAAAATATCGCTTGGCATTTTCACTTCCAACCACCACACAGTGAAGTTGCTAAAACAGAAAAAACACACGATATTTTTGAAGTGTTTGCTCCAACAATATGTCAGAATTTCCTGGCATCCCCTGTATATACACAATTTTAGTAAGAGTAGGCAGAATCTCATAAGGGAGGAAACTTCATGTCATTTTCCCTGGCAGATGTCATTATGCCAAAACAATAATCTGGCCAGTTTTATTAAAGAAAAGACCTTACATTTCCTACTTTACCTGTTTCTACCAACTGAATCAAGATTACATCTCTGTAGAATATCCATTGAATGTGAAATATTTAATGAAATACATAAAATAAATACACTTTTCTCTTAACTAGACTCCTATCAGGAGGAACTGCCAAACTGGCAGAAATAACTCTACTACTTGAATTAAATTATAATCTAAATTACATGATATAATATTCTTATATAATAACCACACTGGTGTCAAACTAATTGTGGCCATGGTTACAATGTCAATTAAAACAAACCCCCCCCAAAACAATCACTGTTTTAAAACAACTTCGAATACAGAAAGAATACTGAGATGGAACCCATAAGACATATACCATTTTAGTAACAACATTAATGTGCTTCTTTACTTGCTGGATATTCACTAAATGTAATGTAAATATGTAAAATGAGTTCCATGAACAGCTTAAAATTTCTTGAAAGAAACAAAAAACGCAGAGAATGGAAAACACCTTAAGTTTACTGTTGAAGAAAGAATATTGTGATTATAGATAGAATTGATATACATGATAGTAAGTTACTCTAAGTGACTAAAATGATTCTTAGTAATAGCTGCTACTGAACATAACATTCTGTCATTTAATTCTTAAAACTCTATTATTAAGATACTATTTTCTCCTTTTTAGAAGCTAGAGTTTTTTTATTTTAGAAATAAAGGAAATTTTAGTAAAGTTTAAATGAGTTGCACAAACCTTCCCACTTAGAAAGTTTTTTTATCTGGGACTGGCTGAATAATACATAGTTCATACTCTAAACAGTTTTTCTCCTTCAGGAGGTTCTTCTTAAAAACAAGATCTTTGTGGGGGCCTCCCTGGCAGGTAGGGTTTAAAGCTTAGCATTACCATCACTATGGCCTGAGTTCGAGTTCCATCAAAAGAGGTAACCCACATATGGTGCAGCAGACCTCTCCTGTCTTGCCTGCTGCTCCCTTCCGCAGTGTATTTCAGTAGATCTGCCTGTTTTACTACGTACTCTGTCTCTGGTTAATCCTCTCATCCCCTACACCTCTGACCTTTATTCCAGTTCTTCTACAGAAAAATAAATAAATGGAAAAATAAATAAATAAATAAATAAATCTTTAAAAAAAGAAAAAGATCCTTAGTACCCTAGTTTGAAGAATGTGGTTCAAACTTGATCAGTGCAGACAACCACAATAGCAATAACTGTATCTCATGGCCAGTTAACCTTAGTGCTCTCACTTAGTACTTAGTCGTCCTTTAACATTGTATTATCACACTGCAGGAATAAAAAAACATCACCAAAGAAATAAATTTTACAAAATGGTTCCAGTAAAAGTGAAAGCAGATACATCTATCTGCAGGATT